CTACAACTCCCATCAAAATTTAACTTTAAGAAGCCAGCAGGTGGGGGAGTCCAGGACACCCTTATTTTATTTATTTATTTATTTTTTATCAGTAGGACACCCTTATTATTGGTTTGACCTGAGTGCAGTTTGCAATCTCGCCCCACTTTCTCAACATGTCTTCCACTGTGTAATCTRTAAATAGTTCTAGTGATTTCAGCCACTGTACTGCCCTTATGTGGATCACAGCCCCTCTCTCATTTTCTAAGAAGATCCTAGTATTTCTTTCTTCCCATAATKTCCAGCATACTGCAGCCCTCAGACCTCTCCACATAGTCCTTCCCCTTTTCATGTGCCACCTGAAAAAGGAAGGGAGAATCATTAGAGAGATCTAGTGGCTAGAGACCTACCTAGAGTCACTTCTGATCACTATCCCATTAAAATAGGCCAAGAGTCCTTTCAAAATGGACGAAGACCATTCAGGTTTGAAAGTATGTGGTTAACATACCCAGACTTTGTGGATAAGATAAAGGAGTGGTGCAATGAAGAATTGAGAGGAGTGAAGTGGAAGGGGTTAGATTCCATAAGAAATTGAAAAGACTTAGAGCCAATTTGAAAGAGTGGAATATGGTCAGTTTAAAAGAGTAGAGGAACAAAAAGCCCTCCTAATGTCCCAAACTGAAAAACTAAATTGATGGGAATACTAAATTCTTTCATGCATTGGCCAATGGAAGGAGGAGGAAGAAGAATTTTGTGGGTAAATTAGAGGTCAACGGTTAAGAGCTTACTTCCCAAGATGAAATAGGAGGTATTTTTGTAGAGTACTTTAAATCAATCTTTAGAGGCCCTTAAATCTTAGGCAGAATTTGGAAGATTTGGAATGGCCAAGATTGAAAGAGGACTTTAATGTTTGGTTAGAGAGGAGCTTTGAAGAAGAAGAGATTAGACGAGCAGTTTTCTCAATGGATAGATCAAAGGCACCAGGCCTGGATGGTTTCACTATGGCCTTTTATCAGGATTGTTTGGGAGGTGATTATAGATTATCTCTTTGATGTTTTTAGAGAGTTTGAAGATGGATTTAAAGTTAGTTCGGGAGTAAATGCCACCTCCATCACTCTAATCCCCAAGAAAAAGCTCAGCACACCAAGGATTTTAAGCCTATCAACCCAATGACTAGTTTATACAAAATCTTGGCAAAGGTGCTCTCAAGAAGGATTAAAGTTGTGCTTCCCTCTATTGTTAGTCAGACTCGGGCTTTTGTACAAGGAAGGCACATAACTGATCAGACTTTGATAGCCAATGAATGTGTGGAGTATATACGAAGGAATAGCCAACAAGGTTTTGTTTGTAAGTTGGATTCAGAGAAGGCCTTGACTTGGTGGATTGGACCTTCTTTGTGGAGGTACCTAGGAATTGTGGTTTTGGAGAGAGGTGGTGTAAGTGGACCTTTGGATGTATAAGCTTTTGTCATTATTTGGTTTTAGTTAATGGTGTTGTGAGGGACTTCTTTCCATCTTGTAGAGGACTAAGACAAGGTCCCCCTATCACCCTTGTCAGTGATGTGCTTAGCCAATTAATCTTAGAAGCTGATGAAGAGGAGGCCCTTAGGGGTTGGAGAATAGGTAGGAATAATCTTCCGATCACCCATCTCCAATTTTCTGATGATATAATAATCTTTTGTGAAGGAGATGATTTAAGGAGGGTGAGGAATCTCAAAGATTTGATCCTCTTGTTTGAAAGTGTATCCAATTTGAAGGTCAATTGGACCAAAAGTTGTGTAATGGGCATTAATTTGGAGGATAGGGTTGTTGTGTCTATTGCAGAGTGTTTAGATTGCCCCATCTCCTCTTGGCCTACATCCTACTTAGGTCTTCATCTTGGTGCAAACCCTAAAGAGAGTCGATTCTGGATTCCTTTTTTGGAGAAATTCGAAAAAATGTTGGCCTCATGGAAGAAGAATTACATCTCCTTGGGTGGTAGAGTTACCTAGATTAGGGCCACCTTAGCTAACTTACCAGTTTATTTTCTCTCTATCTATAGAATCCCCTCTAGGGAAGCTAAGAGCTTAGAGAGGTTAATGAGGAGTTTTCTTTGGGAACCCAGGGAAGAGAAAAAGGATTATTTAGTAAGTCAGGATTTAGTTTGTAGGAACAAAGAGTGAGGTGGATTGGGCCTAGGAAATATAGTGTGCAAGAATGTGGCTTTGTCAGGCAAATGGTTATGGAGGTGGCCCCGAGAGAGGGTCTTTGTGGCATGAGATAATTGGTAGCATACATGGACGCTTGGAGAATGGATGGGATGCTGGCTCATCTTGTTAGGCTACTTTGGCTTCACCGTGGAAAGCAAATTCAAGGATCCTCCCCCAATTCCTCCTTTATATCAAGTATGATGTTTGCTCTGAGAACCTAGTAAGGTTTTGGGAAGACATTTGGGTGGGTAATTCATCCCTTAAGGATTTGTTCCCTTCTCTCTACTTAGTTTCCTTACAAGAAAAAATGAGCTTGTTGCTAGGTGTCTTTCTTCTCCTATCACCCTTGATTCTTTGAATTGGGATTTTGGGTTTAGAAGAGGCCTAAGTGAGGAAGAATTGGCTTCTGTTACAGATCTTCTGCTTCTTTTGGGTAATGTTCGTTCAAACCCCCTTAAGCCATACAAAAAGATTTGGTTTCCTTTGCCTAAAGTTCCTTTCAGCTGCTTTTTTTTTTCAAAATCCTTTGCTCGTCCTCTTTCTCTTTACCCTTCCCTGTAAGGGAAGTTTAAACTAAGCTCATTCCCCCAAAGGTCTCTGTGTTTTGCTGGGAAGTATTCCATGGGAAGGTTAATACTTTGGACAAAATGCAGAAGAAAAGGCCTTACTTGTGCTTATCTCCAAATTGGTGTTCTCTCTGAAAATCTAATGGTAAGGAATGTTACCACTTGTTTTTATCCTGCCCCTTTGCTACAGCTATCTGGTTTCTGTCATCTTTGGTTGTATGTGATTGTTGCCAGCATAAGTTTCTCGGTTATTTGAACCCTCAATCCTTGGCCAGCAATCAAAAAGAGGAAGGTTGATGTGGAGGTGTACTAGGGCAGCTTCTTTATGGACTATTTGAGAGAAAAGAAATACTAGAATTTTCCACAATAAGGAGAGAAGCCTTCCAGAGATCAAAGACTGCACTTTGACATGGGCAATACACTGGTTGAGAACAACAAACATGTTCCTTTCTTTTTCTTTTGATGACTTCTAGAGAAACTGGTTAACAATGGTTAGTAGTTCCTCCTCAAAGAAGAGTTATGGTGCAGTTTGGGTCCATCTTGAAGGTTTTGTTAAACTGAATTTTGATGGGAGCAGCGAAGGTAACCTGGCCTCTCTGGCATAGGAAGGGTTTTGAGGAATAAGGACAGCATTGKTCTAGCTTTGTTCCCATGCGCAGTGGGTTTGAGACACTCTATCAAAGCAGAGCTACTAGCTGCTGTACAGGGGATTCAGCTTGCCAATCAACTTGGTGTAGAAAGATTGTTAATTGAAGGTGATTCCAAGATAGTTGTGGGATGGTTTCTGGATCCAGACTCGACTCTTTGTGGGGTTTTAGGGATCTTCTTAAGAAAGTGATTTGGTTAACAAGGAATATGACAGTGAAAGTCCAATTGATAAGAAGATCAACAAATGAGATAGCTGACTCTCTTGCAAAACAAGGGGTTAACAGGGATTCTTTGTTTTGGGCTGCTTTATAATTGAGTATGATCTCATTTCTATTTTGTTAGATGTAATTTTCTATTAAGAGTGAAGCTGCATCCCGTGCCTCAACAGAAATTATCTAATCTTACAATTTACGATACAAGTCATGATTCGATTCAATTTTCTCTATGATTTACAATACAATTACGATTTTCAGAACATTGGTATCTACTCCCTCACAACTGGGAAGGTAAGACAATATTCTTTATATGCCTTTTTAATAAGTGCTTCCCCTTTGTTCTTCTGGTTACCAATCGAAAAAAAAAAAAAAACAAAACAAAACAAAACAAAACAAAAAACAAAAAACAAATTTTATTAGTGGCCATGTATAGCACTAGCTGATTTTTAATATACTGCTGCCAGATCTACATAAGTATGCCATATATTGGACAGAAAGAAATGTTCCTTAAATTTATAGTACACATACTCTTAAGTAAACAGAATCTGATTGAACATCCAGTTTAACAAGAAGTGGCTGGATATTCCTTCGAATGGTGCCTCTAGTGGTTTACTTATAATTTGGGATGAAGTGGGACAGAGATATGGAGCTTTTTTTTTCAGTCTTGATTCTGTTCACTAATAGAGAAATGGTTTTACTTGGATTTTCACTGGGGTTTATGGGCCAAACTGCCCAAGGTTTAGAGGGAAGGAATTAGAATATATCTGTGTCTATAGTCGGCTTCCATGGACCGTGGTGTTTTGGGGATAACTCCAATTAGCACTCGCTTTGCTCATGAGAAGTTCAGCAGTGGTAGAATAAAAAATTCCTCTCATCTTTTCATTTTCTCTCTTCCAACCCTAACAAAAAGCCCTAACCCAGGTAACCTCTTCCTCTGAACTCTGCTCAACTGAACAGAGTTGGATTATTGGATTTGTTGGGGGGTTTATTTTTACTGGATTTGTTGGGGATATTTTATTAAAAAAAGAGATGGATTATTGTCTTTCTTTTTTTATCTTTTGGTGATTCCTTGTCACCTGACCATGTATTTTCTTTTTCTTTAATAAAATTTTCTTTTATTATCATAAAAAAACTAATGGACCCAGCAGGTTGCCCAGCAAATATCCCTGGAAATTAAGTTAAGAAGTTCATAATTTTCAAAAATAAGAAAAAAATTGGGAGAAAAGCGTGATGTTGATGGAAATTTTCCCAGATCAACAAACAACTGCTACTATAATTGGGAGAAGGATTATGATTAACATCAACTCGTACATGAAACAGAGAGCTAAGACCAAGTTACAATAGAGGTCCACTACCAACAAATAGGAAAGATCAATATAAAGAAGCAGCTACAGCATTACTTACAAAACAAGTGGCCCCCAAGGCCCTAAATTGTTCTCAATCCACAGCAAAAAGTCCTTTAAGATCTGCATAAATCAATTCAGTTTAGTATATAACAGTAGAAAAGAAAGGGGATGGGGAGAAAATAACATAATACAATGACCATCACATGCATATAGATTTAGTACCTAACTCTGCAGTTCAATTTATAAATTACAACGTTCCATATATGGTAATATGGTGATGATAGTAGGCATTACAAATGCAAATAATGCTATTTTTCATAACCAAACAACTAAAAGTTAATGTAGTAACAGTTCACTGAGTTAGACAGTCAAAATATAAAGGATGTAGCAGGAAAATATATATATATATATATATATATATATATATATATATATTGGCAGTTTGGGTAAAAAGATCCTGACAAAGGAATACTAAATAGATTGTCAAACCCTAGAAGATGATGTGGAAAGTACTAAGCAAGAAGGATTGAATAAAAACATGCTTTGAACTTCATGAGATATCATTGACTTCAATAAAAGATGATGATCCAGGGGCTTAGCATTTTTCTTTAGAAATTCTTCTTTGTCATGACAATTGCCTACTCTTTTCCAGATCAGTGCATATAAAAAGGGGGACCTTACATTTCAGAATTTTTATTGATACACTCATTGGTGTTTGAAGCCATAGTGTTGCTTTTCCATTCAGAGTCCAAGTAAATACCATATAGGTGCTTTAACTTTATAGGACATTAGGACCAAAATCATGTTTGATTGGGCATATTAAACCTCAAAGGTTTGTACCATCCTTTACATCAGGTTATGTGCATGGGAGTGTTTGGGGAAAACATTTCCTGGCATCCCCCAACAGAGTGGGTGTTTCAACTTTGGTTGTCCTGTGTGGTGCCTAGTGGTGTTTATGTGTGTTAAACTACAATAAACAACTGTGCATTGTATTATGTGCCAAAACAACTAACTTTCCTGATTATTAATGCCATAATTTGGATACAAATGTTGAAACTTAAAACACCATGTTAGAGATGTTAGACAATGTATGCCCTTAACTCCAATCAGAATGATGTACTAATATTTAATGTAAATGAATAAAGTACATATTTGATTCATGTTATTATGGTGTGTTTCTATGTAATACCCTTAAACTGAACACATATGAGACTCGTGTTAGTTTAGAATCTTCACAGCCGTTGGATAGATCTGGGGAGATTTATCCTGCCAAGGCTGACACTGATGTGCCGCCAAGTTAGTTGGGGGTGGCCTGTCTCAGCTGTCAGGGTGAGACCTGAGG